CCCGAAGTGCAAGAAACTCAAGACCAAGGATGAGTGCAAGGCGAACAAGAAGACGTGCAAGTGGAAGGGCGACAAGTGCAAGGACAAGTAGACCTCCGCCGCGGACGCGCGCGCGCGTGCCGCGTGCCGTCGACGGCGCGAGGCTACGGACCACGGCGATGACAAGCTATACCGCCGGCGCTACCCCCCCCGCTACTACTGCGATAAGAGCGCGTACCTAAGCCATGTGCTCCCGAAGGCCTCCTCGAACTGGAGGCTACTCGGCCTGTTGAGATGCCTCGCGGCCAAGCCGTCCGACGCGCCGTCGGCCAAGCCCTCCTTAGCGCGGGCCGAGCGAGACCGGCGCGAGCCGGTGTTGAGCAAACTTGTGTGTAAGAATGTTGTGGGGGCTTAGTGGCACGATGTTCTGCAGCTTTGTTTGGGACGCCTGTAACGCCTCCTGTAGAGCTTGACAAGAAGCCACGCCTCCTTATTTGATTAAAATCCACGAGGCGACCACGGACAAAAGATTCGAACCTCACGCCGAGGTGGGTGGGTGGGTCCGGAGGCCCGATTTGGAAAATCTACAGTGTACTGATGGGTACTTGTAACGCGCGCGCGCGCGCGCGGTCATGACCCGCGGTGCCGCGGCTGACGGTCGCGCGGCACCTCGGCGACGTGTCTTCACGCCGCTATCGTCGTCTCTGGGCAAGCGCCGCTTCTCGCCGCGGCGACTCGAGCGGCGCGGGTGCCCGTTCTTATCGCAAAGCGGAGAGTGGACGGCGCAGCTCCGCGACAAATGCGACCCGCGCGTGCGGAACCGCGCGCGCGTTGTGGCGATTTTGCGCGCGGCAACTTGAAGGCAACTAACCGAAAAGGAGGTCCCTGATTGGCCAGGAGGTGGGTGGGTGGGTGCCGGGCGCGCGAGCGAGGAACCCGGCGTAGGGTACCGCGGCTTTTATCCCGGGCGCCTCTTGTAAAATCGGCGAATTTTCCCCAAAATAAAATCTAAATCTGGTCCAGGCGTTCCGCGCCTCCTCCGACCTCGCGTCGCGCCTTGCGGCGACGGGGGGTATTGTGCCGTCGTTCGAGGCGTGAGGACGATGTCGCGACTCCTTTTGGCGCTCCTCGTCGCACCGGCGCACGCGAAATGCCAGTTCGCTGACGTCGCCGGCGCTCGCATGCCCCGCGACGCGACGCACGCCTCGGCACGCCGCCGCGCCGACGACAGCGGCACGTACGTCCACAGCACGGGCTGCGCCGGCGAGGGCGACGACTGCGTCGCGGAGATGAGCCTCGCGCTCTGCGCGGCGCACGTCGCGAACCTCGACGAGAGCGACCCGCTCTACGAATGCGTCACCTCGGAGACGATTCTGTACGACGTCGAGTACATGGAGACGTCGGTCTGGGGCGACGCGTACGTCGACTGGGGCCTCTCCCACCACGGCCTCAACGATCTCGGCGGCAAGACCATGCTCTGCGGCCACCAGTACGACGTCTGCCGGTCCGTCGTCGAGAAACAGAACTACGGCTCGGACTGCGCGGACCTCCACGGGTCCTGCCGGTCCGCGCTGCGCCACCTCTACGAGATGATGTTCAAGGTCTCGCCCTGGCCGGGCTGGGCGAGCGCGGCGGGCGCGGGCCAGGTCTGCAACAACTTCGCGCGGAAATCCATCCGGGGCTTCTTCCACGACCAGATGTCGAATTATATAGATGGAAGCATCCTCGCCGAGAACGACGTGCAGCACAACTTCGGGCTCTGCCGCTGGGCCCAGTACGTCAACGTGCTCAGCGACGCGACGTCCTGCGATCCCGGCACCGTCGTCGCCATGGCGGGGGAGCTAGGCTACGAGGCCTGCGGCGTGCCCATCTGGGGCCAGGACTTTGACGTCAAGCCCAAGGTATCCGTCGGGCGGCCGTTCCCCTGCGGGCCGAACATGGACGGGTCGGACCTCTTCGACGAGGAGACGGGCCAGCGCAGGGACGCGTTCTCCGACACGCAGCTGTCCGTGAACTCGACGGCCATGGAGGAGTTCTTCTACGCGACGAACGGCCACGCGCTGGACCGCCCGGACGGAGAGATCGAGTACAGCGCCGACGCGACGGCCGCCGCGCACGCGATCGGCCGCGTGACCTGCCCGCCCGACGGCCTCGATAGCAAGGACGAGCCCATCGACTTTCGGTTGGGCTTCTTCCACGAGATGTGCGCCGGCGGATCCCAGAGCACCTACGAGCCGACGGACGTCTACCGGGAGGCGCTGGCGGACATGCGCGACAAGCAGTGCGACTACGTCGGCGACGAGCCCGTGGCGCCGTCGGACGGGAAGAAGGCCACGTGCCGCGACGAGTCGTCGGACATCAACGTGGAGGGCGGCTTCTGCGGCATGCCGACGCAGTTCCTCGGCACGGTGCAGGTCGGCGGCCAGCACCGCGTGCCGAGATGGGTGGCGATCTTCGAAAATTCCGCGAAGGTCACCCTGCCGCCCGCGACGAACCAGGTCGAGTGCGACGAGGGCGTCCGGATCTACATCCCCTGGGAGCTCCGCGACCTGGCCGACGAGGCGCTCCCGACGAACGCCGCGCTCGACAAGTTTCTGACCATCGCCTGGGACCGCGTCGACGGCATCGACAGCGCCTGGGATTCCTGCGAGGTCGGCTGCAACATACCCGTCTCCGAAAACTACCTCTGCGGCGGCGGCGGCCTGGCGAGCTTCGACTGGGAGAAGGCCTTCTGCGACGCGGGCACGCTCCTGTCGACGTACATTTGCGCGGCGGACGCGGGCGGCGACGCGGCGGCCATCGAGGCGGCGGGCGTCGCGTGCGCGGCGTCCTGGTCCACGGACTGCGTCGTGCCCCGGGCATCGCCCGGCGGCGTCTGCGCGGCCGACGACGACTGCGCGAGCGGCTCCTGCAAGGGCGGCATCTGCTGCAACGCGCGCGGCGCCGAGGACTCGTGCGCCGCGTGCAGCTACTCGGGCGGGAACTGCCTGACGTGCGCGGACTCTTACAAGTTCGTCGCGGCGCGGTGCGTCGACGAGTGCGACTGCGGCGCCGGCTGCGCGAGCTGCGACTGCGGCGTCTGCTCGGCCTGCGACGCGGGCTACTACTTGGACGGCGAGAAATGCGTGACGGCGCACCCCGCGGGCGACCAGTGCGCGTCCCACGACCAGTGCGCTTCCGGCGCGTGCCGCGGCGGCCGGTGCTGCGACCTCGAGCGGCTAGAGATTCCGGAAGATCCCATGGACCCCTCGGGGACGCCGAGCGCGGCCGCGTGCCTCGACTGCAACTCGCGGGGCCTCTGCGACGTGTGCGACGCGGGCTACACGCTCTGCGGGCACACGGAGAGCGGCGGGAGCGGCGGCGGCTTCGGCATGTGCTTCCCGACGAGCGCGGCCGGGTCCGTGACGCGCTTCGCGTGCGGCGGGGACGCGGACGCGGACTGGAGCCCTGCGAGCCCGGACGGGTACAACTACTGCGCGATGGCCGGCTACTGCCCCTGCAGCTCGTCGGGCTGCGGCTACCAGTGCCTCATCGACCAGACGTGCTGGGAGAACTCGATCTCGGGCAACGGGCTGACGGACTACGAGCCCGTGTTCTACGGCGCCTGCGATGACATCGGCGACTGGGTCGGCCGCGACTCCGAGGACGGCGCGACGTGCGCGTCCGTGGCCGAGGATCCCGACGGCCGCTGCGTCGAGTCGTCGGGCGAAGCTACGACCGTGACCTCGGGCGACGCCTGCAAGGCGACCTGCGGCGATTGCCCGTGGGGGTCTTCGTCGCCGACGCCCAGGCCCGTGGCTAAGCCCTCCGACGCGCCGACGTCCAAGCCCACGCCCTCGCCGCCCACGGCCAAGCCCACGCCCTCGCCGCCCACGGCCAAGCCCACGCCCTCGCCACCCACGGCAGGGCCGCCGGACGACGAAGCGCCGACGACGACGACGAACGCCAGCGGAGGCGAGACTTCAGAGTCGAGCGACGGCTCATTTTTTTCGCGGGCGCCGCGCGCCGCCGCGATTGTCGCCGCGATGATCGCTTCCCTTTAGGCTCCGCGTGCGCGGGAAACAACAAGGAGACGTGCAAGAAGCAGAAGTGTTCCTGTGAATGGAAAAAAAAGAAGTGCCAGGCGACGAACAAAAAATCCTGCAAGACGGGCAAGAACAAGGAAATGTGCCTTTGGAAGAAGCGTACCTGCCAAGTCGACTGCGGTGTTTTTCGCAACAGGTCCAAATGCAAAAAAGAAAAGAAGACCTGCAAGTGGAAGAAGAAGAAGAAGAAGTGTGTCTCCAAGTGAGAACCAAGAGGCGCGATTAGAATGGGCCACGAGCCCGCGACGCGGTCGAGCGCGACACCTTGTGTGTAAATAGTGATGTGGGAGGCTTAGTGTGGCCAAAATGGAGGGGGGGGTTCGTCGGCGGCCCGACCGGCCTGTGGCCGCTCGGACGCTGCTGAGGCTCGGCCGCTCGGGAGCTAGAGCGCGGCCTTGGTGCCCGCGCGCGCGAGGCCCTCGGACGCGCGCGGGATCTGGATCTGCTGCGTCTCGCCGTTCATCGTCGCGCGGATGACGAGCTGGTTGAAGTTCGCCACGTCGACCGTCGCGCCCATCCAGACGCCGAAGACCTTCGCGTCGACGACGTCGCCGGCGGAGAGCGCGTCGCGCCAGGAGTCCGGGTCGGGCGTCCAGTCCTTGTCGACGGCCTTCGAGGCCTTCGGCGCGGGCGTTCCCGCGGCGGCGTCGGCGGCGGCGCGCTTCTTCTCCGCGCGCTCGGCCTTCTTCTTCGCGTCCTCGGCGGCGACGACGTCGCGCGCGGCGACGAGCGCCGCGCGCATGGCCTCGACGTCGGCGGCGGCGACGTCGCGCTTCGTGTAGCGGATGCGCGCGAGCTCCGGGTTCGCGAGGACCTCGACGATGTCGATGGTGTAGAAGCCGTGCCAGACCCAGCCGCCGACCTTGGCGGGCTGGTTCGAGAAGACGACGACCTTGTCCTGCTGCGCGGCGTCCTTGAGGTCCTTGAGCTTCTGCGCGTGGCCCGCGTCCGTCGGGCACCCGTCGACGACGGCCTCGAAGGTCTCCGGGTCCTCGGGCGACGCCATGGCGAAGCGCTCCGCGCTCGCGCAGGAGCTCTCCTTGCCGCTCGAGCAGCAGAGCGCGACGCCCGCGAAGCCGAAGACCTTGGCGCCGTGCGCGCGGCACCCGCCGCGCGGCTTCATGTTCTTGCCGGCGGATTTTCCTCCCATCGCCGTGTAGAGCTCCTTGTTGTTGAAGCCGTTCTCGAAGCCCTCGATCATGACCATGGTGGACGTGCTGCGCGCGGGCTGGTGGGGTCGCGGAGGCGCGGCGCGGGCGGTGGCGGCGGTGGCGGCGGCGCGCGGGCGGGTGCTGGTGCTGGTGCGAGAAGAGGTCGTCGCGGAGGCGCGGCGGGGTCTTCCGGGCGCGGAGGCGGTGCTGCGGGCGCGAGGCACGACGACGATGGCGGCTGATCCAAGCAGGCCCCTGCTCCCGAGTCTTTGTGGAGCATCGGATTGTCTCGGTCGCCGGGGGTCGCCGAGGATTGTCGCCGGCGCGCGCCCTCCGAAGCGACCTCGCGACGCATCTCTCCGAGGGACCCGACACTACCAACGAATGAAAAAGAAACAGGGCGGTTTTATATGCGAGGGGTGAAGGACGGGGCGCCGCGGGAGCGGCGCCCCACGAAGGCGTGCTAGTCGTCCCAGTCGCAGTCCTCCTCCGCGTCCTCGAACTCGACGGACTTGTCGTACTCGTAGCCGTCGTCGCCCGGGAGGGCCTGGTGTCGCCGGAAGTCGGCGGTCATGAGCGACTTGGCGTGGGCGAGGTCGCGCTCGGAGACCGTGTTGAGGTCCACGGCGCCGTTGAGGAGCCGCTCGTCGGCCGGCCTCCGGAAGCCGGGCTGCCCCGGGAAGGGCTTCGGCGGCGGCAGGGAGCTCGCGGGCGGCGGCGGCGGGAGGCCGCCCGCCGGCGGCCCGGCGCGCGAGAGGAGGCGCTCGACGAGCTTCTTGACCTGGCTGTGGCGGACCTTCTCGGGATCGAAGTAGCGGCCGTGCTTCGCGAAGACCTTTCGAGTGATCTTGTCCGCGTCCATGCCGCGCTCCAGGTTCCGCAGGTGGACCTTGTAGTGCAGGAAACCGCCGTCGCCGCTGTATTCCAGGATGACCGTCGGCGGCGAATACTTGAGCGCGAGGCGCCGCGGCCGCAGCGTCGCCATCGTCGCCCGCCGCTCCGACTCGCGCGCGCTCGGCATGCTCGTGCCGGCGCACATGAGGATGGCTGGAGTTCCCGCCCGACGCGCGGCGGATCTAGCGCATGCCGCGGGGCGCCCCGACCACACCAGCACCGCCCCCACAGTTGGATTGCGTCGCGTAGTTAGAATTTGGGGCTGCCTTGGGCGGCATCATGAAGGATGCTCCACGTTTGTTGCACACTTTTTGGCAGGGGCAAATCGCGATGAGCTCCGCTTGAAAGCTCTCCCTAGCAGTAGCACGTACGAAATGAAGTTCGTCCAGCTCCTGAGCGGCGGCAAGGACAGCGTCTTCTCGCTGATCCAGGCGGAGAAGCACGGCCACGAGCTCGTCTGCGTGGCCAACCTGCACCCCCTCGACGAGGGCGCCGACGAGCTCGACTCCTTCTGCTTCCAGAGCGCGGCCCACGGCGCCGTCGCCGGCGTCGCCGCCTGCTTGGACACGCCGCTCGTGCGCCGGCCCATCACGGGCGGCGCGACGAAGCAGGGCCTCGTCTACGCGGGCGCGGCGGCCGGCGACGAGGTCGAGGATCTCTACGAGCTTTTAAAGGACGTGAAGGCGCGATTCCCCGCCGTCGAGGCCGTGAGCTCGGGCGCCATCTACTCGACGTACCAGCGCACGCGCGTCGAGGACGTCTGCGCGCGCCTCGGATTGCGAAGCATGTCCTACCTCTGGCGCCGCGACCAGCGGAAACTCCTCAAAGACATGGGCGAAAGCAAGCTCCGCGCCGTCGTCGTCAAGACGGCGAGCATGGGCCTCGAGCCCGGCGACCACCTGGGCCTCCGCCTCGACCTCGCGTCGACGCGGCGCCTCTTCCGGGGCCTGCACGAGTCCTTCGGCTTCCACGAGTGCGGCGAGGGAGGCGAGTACGAGAGCCTCGTGTTGGACAGCCCGCGCTTCGCGAAGCGCCTCGTGCTCGAGGACGCCACGGCCGTGCGCCTCGACGACATGCCCAAGGGCTGCGGCTCCGTCGGCGTGCTCTCCGTCAAGGCCTGGAACGTCGCGGAGAAGGAAGAGGACGACGAGGAGGAGGACGAGGAGGAGGACGACACGGACGATGCCGGGGAGGAGGAACGGAGCGACGTCGAGGACATCACCGAACACCCGCAGCTCCCGCCGCCGCCGCTGGACACGGCGGGCTACGTGCCCGCGGCGCGGCCGCCGCTCCGCGCGTCCGGCGGCCACGGGACCCGCGGCGTCACTTGCGTCGACGCCGCGCGCGCGGCGACGTCCCCGGCGCCGTCCGCCGACGCCAAGGCGGCGGCCGTCGCGCAGATCACGGCCGCGCTCCGCGACGTCGCGAAGGCGCTCGCGTCCCGGGACCTGACGCTGCGGGACGTCTTCTTCGTCCATTTGTACCTCAAGGACTTGGCGCACTTCGGCGCCGTCAACGAGGCCTACGTCGCCGAGTTCCAAAGGTCCTTCGCCGAGGGCGACAGCCCGGCGCTCCACGGCGCGCGGCCGCCGAGCCGGTCCTGCGTCGCGGCGCCCCTGCCGCCGGGCGTCGAGGTCCTCGTCGACGTCGAGTGCGCGCCCGAAGGGCGCGAGGCGCTCTACGTGCGGTCGCTGAGCGAGTGGGCGCCGGTCTGCATCGGCCCCTACTGCCAGGCGAACACGCTGCGCGGCGCTCTGGTCTTCGCCGCGGGCCAGATCCACCTCGACCCGCCGACGATGACGCTCGAGGCCGGGTCGCTCGCGAAGAACCTCCGGACCTCCTTCGCGCACGCGGCGTCCGTGCTGGACGCGTGCCACGCCCGGCTCGGTCTCTACGAGTCCGACGACGAGTGGGACGCCACGGTGTCCCTCGTCGTCTACGTCGTCGGGCACGGCTCGATCAACGCGTCGTGCGAGGCGGCGGGCGTCACGAAGACGGACGCGCTCGTCGTCGAGGTCCCCGCGTTGCCCATGGGCGCGAAATGCGAGGTCGAGGTCGTGGCGGCGACGAGGCGCTTCGCGCCCTTTCTGCGGCGGTGGAAGGCGGTGAGTTGGACCGCGACGGTCGCGCCGCGCTGCCTCTGCGCCGCCGTCGCGTGGGCGGAATCCGCGGCGTCCGTCGACGCCGCCGTCCGCGAGGTCCTGGCGGGGTGCGAGGCTGCGCTCGAGGCGGCGGAGCTCCGCCGCGAGCACTGGTGCCGGCTCCGCGTCTTCGTGGTCGGCGCCGCGGCGCTCGACGCCGTCGAGGCCGCGGTCTTCGCCGCGCTCGCCGGCGGTCCCGTGGACCCGCCGGCCGTGACCGTCGTGCCCGTGACGTCCCTCTGTGTCCCCCTCTCGTCGCCCCCCCTCGCGGCCCAGGTCCTCGCCTGCGACCTCGCGAAGCTCGACACGGAGCTCTGGCTCCGCGCGGAGGCGCCCGTGGGGCCCGCGGTCTAATTACCCGTCCCGGGACGCGCTCCGCTCCTCGCAGCGGCGCTTGAACTCGTCGATGAGCGAACTCGCGTCGTCCTGCGTCTTGGAGAACGCGTCGAAGAGGTCGCCGCCCTTGGCGTCGGCCTTGGGCTTCGCGCGGCGCCGGTTCGCCTCGTGGGCCGTCTTGAGCGTGCGCACGAGCGTGAGCAGCTTGCGGAAGAGGTCGAAGGGCTGCTTGGAGTCGTCGCCGAAGGCCGCGCGCGCCGCGTCGAGAGCGGCTTCCGCGTCCGCGCGCGCGGCCTCGGCCGATTCCGCGTCGGCCGCGAGCGCCGCCGCGAAGCCGCCGAGGCGCTCGCCGAAGGCCGCGCGGCCCGCGGCCGAGTCGCGCTGGAGCAGGCCGTCGAGCGCCCGCTTCGACGCGAGCCAGGCGCCGAGGTCCGCGTCGACGGCCGGGAACGACCGCGCGCGCGCGGCCGCGTCGAGCGCGGGCTCCAGCGCCGCCAGGCGCGCGACGGCGCCCGAGTCGCGCCGGTCGACGCCCGCGACGACGTGCATGGCCAGGGTCGTGCCGTCGGCGCCCTTCGTCGTCGCGAGCTTGGCGACGCCGTCCAGGTCGAAGCCGCCGGCCTCGCCCCGCGCGGAGCCGCCGTTGAGGTAGTTCCCGACGGCGAGCGCCGCCGCCAGCGCGAGCCGCACGGCGTCGCTCTCGCGCGCCGCCGCCGCCGCCGCCGCGACGGCGCCGCAGGCGTCGAGCACGTCGCCGAGCTTCTGCGCCGCGACGTCGCGGAACTCGAGCGCGGCGACGCGTTGGGCAAAGTCGGGCACGCGCGCCGCGTGGCAAAAAAAGGCCTCGACGTCCCGCAGCGCCGTGATGGACGGGTCGTAGTCCTTGGCCGCGTCGAGGTCGTCGCCCGAGGGCACGGGGATCAGGTCGGCCTTGTTGGTCAAGACGTCGTCGCCGTCGGCGACGGCCCTGGCTAATTCCGAGGGCTTCAGGCGCAGCTTCTTCAGCGCGATGCCCACGTTCTGGGCGACGCGCGGGTCCACGAAGGTCGCGGCGACGGCGTCCTCCCTGACCGCGGGCAGGCCCGCGGCCTTGGGCTTACCGGCGCGCTTCGCGAACCCTTTCTCCAGCGCGCCGACGTCGACGAGCGACGCGTCCGACGCGGCGCCCGCCGCGGCCCAGACGTCGGCGCCGGCGACGTCGCGCAGGGGCAGCCAGTACCAGGGCCGCATGGGCACGCGCGGCGCGGCGCCGAGGACCGTTGGAGGCGCCCGCTTCGGCATGGGCGGCGGCGGCGGCTTCGCGCCGGGCCGCGGCGGCATCGGCGGCGGGCCCCCCGGCCGCGGCGGCGGCGGCGGCGGCTTCGCCGGCGGCGCGCCGGCCGACGCGCCGGAGAGCAGCGCGACGTCGACGCCCTCGGCGGCCATCTTCTGCTCGACGGCGCCGCGGGGCAGGCCCATCTTGAGCATGCGCTCGTATCTCGCCACCTTCGGGTCGGCCGCTTCCTCCGCAACGGCGGGCAGCTTCGCGGCCTTGGGTCCGAGGACGCGCTTCGCCTGCTCGGGCACGCTTTGAATGGGCCGCTTCTCGGGCTCGGGAGCCGCGTCGCCTCCGAGCGCCGCCGTCGCGCGCGACCAGCGCGCCGCCGTCGCGTCGTCGAGCGCTTTCAGGGCGGCGATCGCGAGTTCGCCGACGGCCCGGGCCTTGCCCGCCTTGGCGGCGCCCGCGGCGACGCGGCCGAGCACCGCCGCGGCGTCCGAGAGGTCCACGCCGTCGCGAGACAGCGCCTCGGCGCGATCCGCGTCCGCGATCGCGAAGAAGGCCTCGCGCTGCGCCGCGCAGACGGAGGACGCCCGCGGCTCCAGCGGGGCGAGCACATCTAAAAACGGCGCGCGCACGTCGCCGACGTCCCTCGCGAGCGCGGCGCGGTCGACGGCGACTTTTAACGCGTCGAGCCACGCGTCCTTGTCGCTTCGCGTCTCCGCGGCGAGCGCGAGCGTCTTCTTCTCGGCGACGACCTCGAAGGCGCACAGACCCCCTAGACCGCCCTCGTCGGAGTAGGCGCGGACGGCCTTGACCGTCGCCAAATCGACGAAGCGCGCCTCGTCCGTCGCGGAGCCCCGCCGCTTCGGCGCGCCTCCGGACGTTCCGGCGTCGTCGTCGGCCCAGGAGAGGCGGCCGTGCTTGATCGTATACACGCGGCGCTTCGTCGCCTTCGTGCCGACCATGCGCCCGAGCGTCGACTTGGCCAGGTCCGACCCCTTGGCGGCGACGAGCGGGCCCTCCCGGTCGCTCCTTAAACGCTCGACGCTCCGGACGGACGTCTCCGCCGCGGCCGCGCCGTCGAAGCACGCCCGCAGCGCGAAGCGCAGCGCGGCCCGCGTCTCCAGGTCGTCGCCGCCGCTCACGACCTCGTTGGCGAGCGTCAGCGCCGCCGCGCGGACCTCGACGGGCGCGGCGCCGCCGACGGCCGCGAGCGCCTCCAGCGACGGCAGCGCGGCCCGCACGGCCGCGGCCTTGCCGAAGTGGCTGCCCACGGCCAGCAGCTCGAGGGCGACGGCCGCGACGGCGCCGCCGCAGAACGAATGCGGCGCGTGGAACGCCGCCCTGGCGACGGCGTCGTAGACCGCGGGCGCGGCCGCCGCGCGGTCCAAACCCCGCGCGTGGTTCGTCACGCACCGCACGCAGCCCAGCGCCGCGAGCGCCAGGCACCCGTCCTTCTCGCCGAAGCGGTGCGCGGGCCCCGCGAGCGCCACCGCGAGCGTGGACGCGAGGAGCGCGAGGCCGTCCCGCTCGTAGAACGCGTCGAGCCAGCCTCTACTCCCCGTCGCGAGCCGCTTCCGCAGCTCCCGGACGTCCGCCAGCGTCGGCGAAACGCGGATGGCCTCGAGGAGCGCCGCGTCGCCGTCGCTCATCTGCGTGCTCCGGCCCGACTCCAGGAGCGCCGCGTTCATCTGCACCATGCGCCACTTGTTCGCGACGGACTCGTTGGCCGTGAGGTTCGCGACGGCGGCCGCCGGCAGGCAGAGGGCGACGAGCACGCGGCCGAAGAGCTCCTCGACCTCCGCATCGCTCGGCTGCGCCGTGCTCGTCTTGAGCTTGATGGCCACGCTCTGCGACATCGTGGGGCTGCCCCGCACTACGTCGCACTGCCTGAATCCCTTCAGCTTTAGCGCGAGGAAGATCAATACACCTGCAGGAATCCCTGGAGTCGCTAGGTTTGGCATTCACAGCGGCAGAAGCCGCCATCTGAGCTGCCCGAGAAGCTCGACCGGTTCTTACTGTTGGGCGCCGCCGCCCTCGGACGCACCATGGCGCCGCCGCGCGGGTCGCCGGGCCGCCGCCGCCAGGGGCGGCGGCCGTCCCTGGACATGCTCCTCCAGGTCCACCAGACGGAGCTCGAGCTCGCCGTGGGCAAGCCCCAGGAGGAGGAGATGAAGGACGACGAGCTCGCGGGCGTGCGCGCCCTCTTCGACATGGTCGGCGCGTCGAAGCCGCTGGGCGTGCCCGAGGTAACCAATTTCCTCGAGAAGCTCGGGGTCTACCTGCCCGCGGGCCGCGTCGCGGAGCTGCACGACACGTTCTCCGCGGAGCCGGACGCGCCGGGCGGGCCGCGCGCGGTCGACGTGGCGGGCTTCCGGCGCATGCTGACGATGATCATCAGCTCCGGCGACATCGCGGACCTCGCGGGCGGCGCGGGCGACCACACCGCGCCGCTCCACAAATTCCCCGCGAAAGAGGTGAAAGAGCTGCAGAAGATCTTCGACTCCGTGGACGTCGACGGCGACAAGGAGCTCGGCTACGGCGAGCTGCAGACCGTCTTCGTGCGCTGGGGCCTCGAGGGCATCACGGGACAAGAAGTCGCGGGCCTCATCGGCCGCTTCGACGTGAACAACTCGGGCACGCTCGACTTCGACGAGTTTTTAGGCCTCGCGTCGTCCGCGAAGTCCCTCGCGGAGGGCGACGAGCAGTCCATGGAGATGACGATCAAGACCCACTTCGCCCGGGAGCACGCCAAGGTCAAGAGCCTCTCCGTGCGCCAGAAGCTCGCCGTCGACGCGGCGACGCTCAAGTTTTTTAAAGACGAGGTCCGCCAGGGCTCGTCCGTCCAAAACTCCATCGACCGCGCGGCGCACGTCGCGAAGCGGGCCATGCGCAGCCTCGGCGGGGACCCGGAGGCGGAGAAGAAGGCCTACGCGCACGTGCAGCAGCGGCTCACGGGCGAGCTCGACGGGCGGCTCCTCGAGGCCGCGGAGGCGGGCAAGGCCGACGACGTCGCGGAGCTTATCACGCGCGGCGCGAACAAGGACGCGCGGCGCAACGAGCCGCCGCGGGAGAACGCGCTACTGCTCGCCTTGCAGGCGCGCCACGTCAAGGCGGCCATGGCCCTGCTCGACGCGGGCGTCGACGCGGCCGCGCGCGACGACGGCGGCGTCGGCGCGGTGCTCGCCGCGGCGACCGCGGGCTGCTTCGGCAAGTCCAAGGACATCCTCATGATGCTCGTGAGCCGCGGGGCCAAGGTCAACGACCCGGAGGAGCACGGCATCACGCCGCTTTTAGCGGTGACGCAGCGGGGCAAGGTCGGCGAGGTCGACCAGCTGCTGAATTTCGGCGCGGACGCGAACCAGGCCGACGCCGAGGGGTCCACGGCGTTGATGCGCGCGGCCCAGAGCGGCCACAAGGCCATCGTCCAGCGCCTGCTGTCCGCGGGCTGCGACGTGAACAAAATCGACGAGTACAACCGGTCCGCGCGCGACCGCGCGATGGCCGCGGACAAGGTCGACATCGCGGGCATCCTCAAGGACCACGGGGGCCTCTTCGGGGCCCAGATTTTGGAGGCCTCCGGCGAGGAGTCGCGCCCGGCGCTCCCGCAGCGCCGGGGCTCCGCGCGGAGCCGCATCCGGTCGCTCGGCGACGTCGAGGAGGCGCGGAAGCAGCAGGGCAAGCTCGCGCCGCTGGCCCAGGACCCGGCCCACCTCGCCGTCGCCGACTCCCTCGGCGCCTTCGCGTCCGCGTCGACGCCGGAGCTCGGCGCGGGGAGCGACCCCCTCGCCGCGATGGCCGCCGCGCGGAAGGAGAAGGACCTCGTGCCGCTCGCCGCGCCCGTCGCGGCCGCGCAGTAGCCGCGGCCCCGCTGTCCTTCCTGGGTGGGAGCGCCGCCGCGCGCGCCTAACCACTGCGGTTCTCGTGGGTCGTTTCACATATCGCACACGCCGGCGGGATATGTTACGTTACGTACAGCGTAGGATAAAAATGGGGGGGCCCGGGCCGCTTCGCGCGCGCGCCTAGTTGCCGCAGGCCTGGAGGCAGAAGAAGTACTTGCCGAGCTTGGCGATGAGCGACTTGGGCTTCTCCGCCGGCACGGGCGGCGGGCCGACGACGAGCTCCTCCGTCGGGCGCGCGTCCGTCTCGAGCGAGTGCGCGCGCTCCGCGGGCGCGGGCGCGTCGTCGTCGTCGTAGTCGGCGCCGCCCTCGGCGAAGGACGGCGCGAGCTCCGACGGCGCCGGCTCCGAGGGCGTCGGCTCCTCCGGCGCGGGCTCCTCCTCCCAGACCGGGGCGACCGCGTAGGGCGAGCTCGAGGGCCAGACGTCCGGCACGCACGTGAGCGGCGGCGGCGGCGTCGCCGGCTTCGCGAGCGCCGCCTCCGCGGGCGTCGGCGGCGGCGTCGGCGCGAAGGGGTTCGGTGCGCAGTCCGCGGGCGTCGGCGGCGGCGTCGGGGCGGCGACCGCGGCCTTGGGCGGGCTCGCCTCGGCCGCGGCCGGGCCGTCGGCGGCGCGCGGCTCGTCCTTCGAGAGGTCGCGGATCTGGCGGCTCCAGGTCTCGGCGTCGTGCGTCGCGAGGGCCTCCTCGACCTCGTCGTCCGTGCCGTTGTCGTCGCCCTCGTACGCCGAGTCGTCGTCGTCGTCGTCGTCGTCGCCGATGTCGCCGAAGCTCTTCGCCGACGGCGAGTGGGCCCGGGGCTTGGGCCGCAGGCGGCTCTTGAGGATGTTCTTCGCGTCCACGGGCGTGTCCGCGTTGGCGAGCACGTTCGGGTCCAGCGCCTTGAGCGGGGAGGCGGCCGCGAGGGGGGACATGGCGAGCAAAAACGATGCTCGAAACCAACCGGGGCAGCATCGAGGAAATGTTGGCACAAATCCTTCGAAACGACGCGAGTGGGGGCTGCGATGTCCTGGGGCGGCCCGCCGTCGGGCAGCAGCGCGGCGTCGACGGCGGCGCGGCTGCGCAACGCGCCGCTGGAGGAGGCGAGCTCCCGCGACGTCCACCCGGCGGCGTCGAAGAAGGCCGCGGGCCCTTTTTGGCGCCTCTACTACCGGGAGCGCGCCGACCCCGAGGCCGCGCCGACGAAGCGCTACCTCGACTTCAAGTCCGCGACGCCGCGGCCGCCGCCGGAGTCGCCCGGTGGCAGCCGGGGCCGGGGCGGGTCGACGCCGCGGCTGGGCAAGCTCACGTCCGGCAATCTCAGAGGGAGGAGCCCCGGCGGCGCGGGCAGCCGGGGCTCGCGGCGGTCGCGGAGCCGGGGCTCGTCGGCGTCGTCCGTGCGGTCCTTCCAGAGCTCGAGCAGCCGGGGCTCGAACGCGTCCATGCTCAGCGGCCTGAGCGTCGACCAGGTGCGCGACTTCTCGCTCAACCACGCGCGGCACGCGCGGCGGCTCCGGTCCATGGGCCCGACGATGTCCATCACGGCGCCCTACCGGCCCCAGGTGCTGCTCGTCGACTACAAGCGCAAGCTCAACGCGAAGCGCACGGCGAAGCGCGTCGAGCGGGAGAACGGGTTGCTCACCGCGCGGTGCGCGGCGATCAAAGGGCGGACGCCGCCGACGGCGAACGCGGCCGCGCCGCGGCCGCGGCGCCGGCGGCCCATCGACCAGAAGCCGGGCTACAAGCGCCGCGACTTCTTCCGGCCGAAATGGTCCTCGCGGCCCATCAACGGCGGCGCCATGTTCTCCGCCGTCGAGTCCCTGGCGAAGACGCGCGACGTCTCCGTGCGGCCCCACCACTACAAGACGCGGGGCCTGCCCAAATTGGAAAAGGACAAGAACCACTTCGTCAACCTCACGACGGGCTCCATCTACCGCAAGGGCCACCCCGCGCTCGCGAAGCCGCACAGGCCGTCCCACGCGAACTCGGGCGCCGCGCTCCTCGCGCGCGCGATGAAGGCGCTCTAGCGCGGCGTCTTACAAGGCTTAGTAAGACTCCCGCCTCCTCCGGACGGTCTAACATTAGTACGACTCACGCCTCCTCCGTGCGCCGCCGGCGGACGGTCTGGCGGGACGCGTCCGTGAATTTGCCGAAGGCCGTCTCGAGCTCCGTCGTCTTGGGCTGCGTGAGCGCGAAGGCGCGGCTCCGCGCGCCGCGGTGGCCCCGGTCGCCCGCGAAGACCCACCAGCGCAGCGCCGCGCCGTTGTCGCGGCGCACGCCCGCGCCGTCGTTGAGGCAGTCGCCGACCATGAACGCCGCGCCCTGGTGGCCGCTCTCCGCCGCCGCGAGGAAATAGGCGTAGGCCCGGGGCTCGTCCTCCTCGACGCAGTCGTCGCCGCAGTAGTAGAGCACGCCGAGCTCGTAGCGGCTCTGCGCGTGGCCCGCGTCCGCCCCGATCCGGAACAGGCGCAGCGCCTCGCTCTCCGCGCAGAGGCCGTGCTCGTGCATCTGCGCGAGGGCGCAGGCCGCGTCGTGCGACTTCGCCGCGTCCAAACGGTACAGGTCCGCGGCCTCGGCCTGGTGCTCCTTGTAGCTACTGAGGCCCGTCGCGACCAAAAACCGCTCGCTGAGGCACGCGCCGCCGGTGGCTTCGCAGGCCTCGAGCGCGCGCCGCAGCCCGGGCACCTCCTCGAGCTCGGGTTGGATCGGTGGCCAGGCGCGCTTCGGGATGCCCACCATGCCCGCCTCGTCGCGCGGCCAGCGCGCGCCCAGGGAGTCGTTCGTGAGCTCGCTGGCCGGGTACTCCGGCGGCAAGCGCTCGCAGTGTGTTTTTTTTTCCAACAAGGTCGCGAGCAGCGCCGCGCTGCTCGCGACAGCGGCGCGCGGGAGCATCGGTGCGTGCGCTGCAGCGACGGGCGGCGCGCGTGCAGCTATGACGACGACGATGGAGTGTGAGCTCGCTGGGCCAGTGTTGCGGAAACGCTGCCGCGGTGATGCCGAGATGATGCCGCAAAATCTGGAGCTCGAGCCTGCTGCGCCGGCGCGTGCACGCCTTCGGCGCCGTCTTGCGCGCGAAACACCGAGCCACAAGCACACCCAGTCCACAGGAGCAACTCACACCCCTGCCGCGACACCCTCGCCAATTCGAAACTCCAAAACCCGCCGCACCGGCGCCGCGAGCGACAAAAGAAGAAGCAAGGATAGTATGATGTGGGCCCGCGCCGTCCGCTCCGTGTCCGTGTCCGTGAGCGCCGCGGGCGTCGCGCTCTGCGAGGGCGCCCCGAAGCGGCGCCTGTCGACGCCGCCGCCGCGGCGCCGCGTCACGCCCGTCGTCGACCTCGAGCGCGAGGTCATCGTGCTGGAGCGGCAGGTCGCCGGCGAGCCGCTCACGCGCGTGACGCTGTCGGCCATGGTCGACGACATGGCGGACCCGGACCGGAAGCTCCTGCTGTTCGGCGAGCAGCACGACGACGCCGTCGCGCAGGACGTGCAGCGCGCGGTCTACGACGACCTCACGCGGCGGCGGACGGAGAAATTAGCGCTCGCGCTCGAGTTCGTCGACGCGGACGCGCGCGACGCGGCCCGGGCCTTCTCCGACGGCTCGTCGGACGACGTCGACGCGCTCTTCCACGGCGCCGGCGACGCGCGCAAGTACGGGCCCCTCGCGCTGCAGGCGCGCGCGACGAAGAACGAGCTCATCGCCGCGAACGCGCCGCGGCGGCACGCGCGGTTGGTCGCCCGGGAGGGGCCCGGGGCGCTCGCGAACCTCCCGCCCGAGGACATCTCGAAGCTGCCGCCGCTGCCCTACGAGTCGGCGCCGTTGAGCCGGCCCTACGCGGAGCGGCTCTCGGGCTTTGGCTTCGGCGCGAACAAGATCGCGGCGCAGTGCCTCTGGGACGCGGCCATGGCCCACTCCTGCCTCGACTTCCTCAGGCGCCGGCCCATGGACTGCGTCATGCTCGTCTGCGGGCGCTTCCACGTCGAGCACTTTCTGGGGGTGGTCGACCACGTCGAGCACCTCGGCGAGACGGGCGCGTTCGCGGAGATCGAGCGCGAGGGCCTCCGCGTCGTCGTCTGCGCGTCCGTCGACGCGCAGGAGTTCGCGCGGCGCGGCGCGGACGGCGCGGTCTTCGACGACCCGGGCTTCGACTCCCTCGCGGACTTCGTCATCCTCACGCGGCGCGCGCCCCCCTAACTGGTACAGTTGATGATTCTGTAATAGGCACTTATACACTAACATATACTGTAGAGTCACCGTTATTGCTCGAGGTCGTGGTGGATCGCGTGGGGCGTCCGCGTCGCGGCCTTGGCCGCGCGGAGCTCGGGCAGCGCGCGCCGCGCGTCGCCCGCCGCGCACGCGGCGCACGCGAGCACGACGACGCCCGGGGAGAGCAGGGCGACGGCGCCGCTCCGCGCGACGACGAAGGCGAGGCCCGGCGTCGAACATGGGCGCCGCCGTCGGCGAGAAGAGCCGCGCGGGCACGACGGCGATCTTGTCGTGGACCTCGGGGACGTCGACAGCGACCGTCGCGAAGGGCTCGGCGCCGTCGGGCAGGAGCACGTTGAGCAGCGGCCCGCCGTCGGGCGCCTGCGTCCGGATGGTCTGGCCCGGCCGGGCGTCCGGCGGCACCGTGACGAGGAACATGCC